GCTTTGGTTTAGCCGTGGCCGGTTTGGTCCGTAACAGATCCGTTAGTGGTAGGGCTATTTCAGCAAATCTGGGAATGAACTGCCGATAGAAGTTTGCAAAGCCTAGAAAGCTCTGCAATTGCTTTCTGGTTCTAGGGGCCTGCCATTCAAGCACTGCCTGGACTTTTCTGGGATCCATCTCTACCCCGCTCTCTGATCTTCCAAGGCTGTCCCTTCTGCCATATCCCCCTTTGCTGCAAAGCCACAGGGACTCCTCACCTCTTGCGAAAAGGAACCAAGCGCTGACTTTCTCTCGGCTTGTCGTTCGTTCAGAACTGCGATAGGAAATAATCACCAGTAACGCACAGAGAATCAGGGTTTACTTTGGCAATGATAAGCTTGCAGTCAAAAGTAAAGTACAAGTCGGTGTTTTGGTTCAAAGTCAGCGCTGGGTGTAATCACACCACAGTGCTATTTAACAAAAACTCAGCCCCTTAAACATACATCCGGTGATTATCAATCAAGCACCCCCCACTCCCTTAACAGTAACAGCTGCGAGCACCAGAGCAGCGAGGACAGCAGAATCGGAGAGGCCCAGCAACGTCATCAATCATCGCCCTGAATGCTGCTATCCAGGAACTATTTGTGTGTTCGCTGCGGCTGCTTATCTCCACTCCTTTTCCTCCCACACCCTCCATTGATGGCGAGCTCCGGTAGGACTCGACACAAAGTTTCTTTTCCAGCAGGTGGCAATGTTGTACACTCTCCTGTCTTTCTTCTAAAATGAATAGAAAATTGCCAAGAAAAAATAAAAAGAAAAGTTTTTCAAAAGAAAAGAAAAAAAGAGGAAAGCTTCAGTTTAAATACACCAGCCAATGTCCACCAATTATTTTAAAAAGACAAAATGTAAATGTCTTACTTATCTTTCTCTCTCTCAAGTCAATTCCAGTCTCAATCAGTAGTGAAAGTAAAACAATTAAGTCCTTCTCACTAAGTAGTCAAATAGAATAGAGAAAAAAAAACTTTTCACTTTAAATTCGCCGCTTATCTCATCTTGTTCTCAATCTCCAAGTCCATTATCCCCTCAGGGTGTTCTCTGTATTGTTTAAAAATTAAAGCTCTCACCGATCCGATCCTCTGTCATTTCCTTCTCTCTCCCTGAAACTGCGCCAGCCTCAGCAGCTTTGATGGCTGCTACCCCGCCACTGGAAAAGGAGCTTTCCTGGATTCAATCAGGGGCTTTGCGATGCCCCTGAGATCGTCAGGACATGCTCCACACTACCTCAGTCAAACCTAGATTGCAGGGTCCGAGATGGATCGTCCGGTAGCGGGGTTATCGGCGGGAATTTCTGGAGCTCAGAAATTCCCATTCGTTCCGCTGGGGCATCAGCTTCCGGTCCTGATTGCTCCCTTGAGCCAACATTGTATGTATGATTCCCATGGTAGAGGTGATGTCCTCTCCAGGTTGACCACAATTGCAGATTCTGCTTAATGTCAGACATGCCTCAATGTGTTCTGACCTAGGCTTCTTTAGAAAGTATAAAGCACAATCTTAGTTCCGCAAAACCTCTTTTATTTATACACCTGTAAATTATTTTCATTTACAGTTTGATAAATTGGCTTGATAAACAGTCTTTCAGAAGAAGGTTATCAACAGCCACCTATCTCATCTGGAACACTGCCAGAGAGCTAATTTCCAGACGCAGGGCAAGGTCAAACTTGGCACAGAGTCACAAACAGAATTTTCAAATCTTGAATCGGCCAAATGAACTAATTGCTTCCTGCAAAAGCTCACGTCCCGTTCGCTTCTCTTTTATGTCTTATGGGAGGGGCCAATCATCTCCAAACCTTACTCCCAAGTAAGTGTTTTCTTAATTGTTCCTGTCTCCTGGCAGCTCTGTACCTGTGCACACTGGGAACAGGCTCATGCTGTTCTGCCTCGCTGATGTCAGACTCCGGAGACCCTGGAGGCAGCAAAGAACTACCAGATGGCCTTGGCCCCCTCTCTGCCTCCAACTCAGAGCCATCGTCCAAGCCTTCCCCAGACTCCAGGACTGGCCCACATTCCTCCCCAACCTCCTCACTATCTGAATCTGCTGCCAGCTCTGCTGGCCACTGGCGGGCCACAACAGATCTCTTAGGGAAGTAAGACTCTCAACTCCATTTGGTTGAAGTGAAAAGGTACTTTTACTAAGGGATGCTGATTGCAGTAGAGTCAAGTGGAATCTAAAGTTCCCATGCGCTAATATAGAATTAGACCCCTGGGTCTCCCTAGCCCTCCCCCCTTGATCTGTCCATGTGTAGCCAATCTGGTACCGCCAAGATGTTATGGGAAACACTGAGGTGTTTGGGTTGGTGAAATTCCACTCTCAGGGCAAACAGCCTTGAAGATTCTAGTACATCAGAGGTGGGTTTCAGCAGGTTCTGACCAGTTCTGGAGAACCAGTAGCAGAAATTTTGAGTAGTTCGGAGAACCGGTAGTAAAAATTCTGACTGGCCCCGCCCCATCTACTCTCTGCCTCCCAAGTCCCAGCTGATCAGGAGGAAATGGGGATTTTGCAGTAACCTTCCACTGGAGTGGGGTGGGAATGGAGATTTTAGAGTATCCTTTCCCTGCCTTGCCCACCAAGCCAAGCCACGCCAACCAAGCCATGCCATGCCCACCAAGCCACACCCACAGAACCGGTAATAATTTTTTTTTGAAACCCACCACTGCAGTACACCAACATGAACCAGATTCTAATCCACTCTGTTTTTCCTCAACTGTCACTTCCCCCTCTCAATTTCCCATCATAAAGTTATACAGATTTATTGCCCATTTGTTCCCCCCTCCCTTCCCCAATTGATGACAGAACGCCAGTAAGGCACCAAGCCAAAGCTGCTGGATCTGACTGTGAATGTAAACCACATTTTTCAGTTCTGTCGTAACTTTGAATGTTGGTTAAACAAGTCAAGGATTGCCTTTACCACGTCATACTATGGTAAATATATGAGATATATGGAATTTGTTCCCCTCCTATTGTCGTTATATCTTTCTTTTTTAAATTTCCAGGTCAGGGATTATGTCAGAGGTTATGTTTTCCTGAAATATATGGAGGTTATGGATTCCCATTGCTGAAATATACAAATTTGAAATTTACATCAATTGTATAAAGCATAAAAAAATTTTGGCTTTCTGCTCTCATGAATTTTACTTCTTCAAAATCCTTTAGTCATATATTTGAAATGATGTGTCTACCATTTCTCTTATTTATAAAGTTATATGTATGTAGTGAGTTTCAAAAGTAAAATAATTTTACAGCTGGCAGCTGATAAAATACATAAAAGTTAGTCACAATAGTTTGCTCAGAAGTATAATATTTTATATATTTTATTTAGAAATGGTTTCTTTTGAGTCACGCAGGTCCCATTTCTCTTTTCTGGGTTACAAAATTATTAATAGAGAAAAATGGCTACCACAAGAAAAACATCGCAACAAGGAAGGATCATTTACAGAAGTTCAGCAAATAGCAGAAGAAGGGATTAATCTAAACACTTTACAAAAAATGCTTAAGGAATCAGGAATAGTGTTATTGCATCAGTTAAAGTGGTTGAAGAAAAGTTGACCACTTTAGAAAAACGGTTGGAAGAGAAGTAACTATGGAAAATAAGATTAGTGAATACTGTAGAAAAAATAACTGGAGAACCTAAACAGAATAAAGAAAAAATAGAAATTCTGGAAACTAAAGCAGAAATAACCAATGAGGAGATGGAAAGGACTTTAGATCATTCAGATAGTCCTTGCTTACCATTCTTTCAGCAATCATTCCAAACTTTCTGAAGGCTTTCCAAAGCATCACAAGAATGGCACATGCTGTTTGGAGAACGGTGTCAGGAAGAAGGCTTGGTGTGGCTAGCAGCTGCTTGCCTAGAGTTAGGTCAGCTGCACCTCATCAGTAGTAGTAGAAAGACAGTGAAGGTCAGCTGGTCATGGCAGGGCTGCAGAACATAGAATGGTGGTGTAGCAAGGACTTTGCACAGTGATGCTGGGGTGTCTAATTATTACATTCACAATGATGGAAGAACAATGGTATCCCCACAGTGGAGGAGACTTCCAGGAGTTGTAGTGTACAGATAGTCTTTGACTTACAATAGGTCATTTGAGGTTACAACGGCACTGAAAAAGATAACATGACCATTTTTCACACTTATGACTGCTGCAGCATCCCCATGGTCATGTGATAAAAATTCGGATACTTGGCAATTGGTTCATATTTAGTGTCCCAGGGTCATGTGATCAGCTTTTGCAACATTTGACAAGCAAAGTCAATGGGGAAGCCATTCACTTAACAACTGTTACTAACTTAACTATGGCAAGAAAGGTTGTAAGATGGGGCAAATTCACTTAATAACTGTCTTTCTTAGGAACAGAAATTTTGGACTCAATTATGGTTATAAGTTGTACTGAGGATGACTCTGAGAAAGTGGAGCTGCCAACTGTGACAAAGACCAAGGAACTAATGAACCTTGGTAGCACAGTGATGAAAGTGCAGTATTGCAGGAGAACTCTGCCCGCAGACTGGAGGTCAATCCCATCTGGGCTCACTATTGACTCAGCCTTCCATCCTTCCAAGGTCAGTAAAATGAGGACCCAGATTGTGGGGGACAATATGCTGACACTGTAAACTGCCCAGAGTGCTGTGAAGCACAATGGGGTAGTATATCTAAGTGCTGTTTCTATTGCCAATGACTATTTATTTATTTATATTTTATTTTATTTATTTGTCAAGAGCCTTGGTAGCACAGTGGACTAAAGCACTGTTATTAACATCTGCTGCTTGCAATTACTGCAAGTTCAAATCTCACCAGCCTTCCATCTTTTCAAAGGTAGGTAAAATGAGGACCCAGATTGTGGGGGCAATAAGCTGACTTTGTATAAATATACAAAAGTATGAAGGCTATTGCTTAACGCATTGTAAGCCGCCCTGAGTCTCCGGAGAAGGGCGGCATATAAATTAAAGCAAAAAAAAAAAAAAAAAGAACGTATTAGGTAATCATATATAAGTATAAGCATGAATTGAATACATAAAAGAGATACAAATAAAAGAAACATTAGGACAGGGATGGTAGGCATACTGGTGCTCTTATGCACGCCCCTTACAGACCTCTTAGGAATGGGGTGAGGTCAACAGTAGACAGTCTTAGGTTAAAATTTTTGGGGTTTTGGGATGAAACTAGTGTCAGGTAGTGCATTCCAGGCATTGACCACTCTGTTGCTGAAGTCGTATTTTCTGATTCCTTGGAACATCTCTGGATAAGGAGAAGATGGGAGATCACCCACATGTGCTCCAGGCAGCTGTTCCTTATGAGACTGCAGGACAGTAGTTTCCCGTGAGTTTGAGAATCAAGAGATGACAGGATTAGCTGTCTTCCTTATAACCATAGCAGATACTTTTAAAAGACACTAGGTTTGCAAATATCACTTTCTAATCACTTTGGAAATTGATCATTAACTACTTCTAAACCATTAAAGACCTTCAGACTGTCAGGTATAAATGCCCTTCCCGTGCCTAGGGTCAGTTACAGTTCAGTAGTGCAGGGGTTAACCCAGACACCCACCTGGTCAGCTCCTCCCATAGACCCCTCCTTACCTGAATCCCCGCCCACAGGTATAAAAGGTGGGCACAATCCTCCATGTTGTTCAGTTCCAGATGTAACCAGTGATGATGTGCAGAACCTGTAAATAAAAGAGATATATTTAACCTGATGACTCAAGTCTCTTCATTGGGCCTGATCCATCAATCCTCGTAACAAAATGGTAGCAGAGGATGGTTGGTAAGACCCAGAGACACCAAACCACAAGACAAGGACCCATACCTACCTGCGGAATGGCGACACCTCCGAAGCAACGGGAAAGCAACCCATCGGACTCGCCAGGGAAGGTAGGAACCCCAACCTCCCCCAAAACCACCGCGATGGAAGAAAAGGGGGAGATCGAGAAAGGGAAAAGGACTCACCACGACGACCAAGAAGAGGAAAAGCTGAGACTCGACGTCCTGCAGCTGTTGGAGGAGCGAGCCGGCGACAAGAACCTACTTGCCGACCTGCGGAGCTTCATAATCGACCGCGAGGTGGCAAGGAGCGAAGGAGAATCGGACTCCGAACTCGAGGAGCTGGACTCGGTGAGTGGATCGCCCAAAAGGGCACCCCCAACGGCCACCGAGCCCCGAAGCCCCGCTCAAAATTTGAAACGGCGGCCATCTTTGTCCACGTGGTCGGACAAGATGGCCGACCCCCAACCAATCAGCAGCCAGAATTCAAAATGGCCGGCGCGCGAAAAATGCCGGACCATAAACCATGAAGAAAGTGACCGGGGGGAGGGGACAGAATCAGACTCGGACCCCTGGTACACCCCCAGCGAGCGGCAAGTCGATAGGGCCATGAAGACCCTTGCCGCCACCTTCGGCCCAGGCCTCAAAATCACAAAAGAGAAACCGGAGAGGCCAAAACAGAAAGGAAGGCGAGGAGAGGGACAACGAAGCACCCACCCGAGAGCCACCGACGCCCGTGCCAGCCCGCCAGCCCGCCTACGCACCCCAGGGACACCGCGCCTCCGATCGCCCAGGCCACACACCCCGGACCGCATGGACTGGGGCAGCTACTTACAGCCATCGCCGGAGCCTCAGCGCCGCCAGGATCTTCATTCCGGAGAAGCAGCTGCTGGACGACGCCTTCCGGAGCACACCTGGACCCCCAAGACCGAAGCCGAGGCCTACCCGACCGATAGAGGCCTCTACAGCGGAGCCGCGACGAACAGGTCCTTCCTTGGCGACGGCGGAGCTGAAATGGACTTCGCGCATGCGCTCTTCCGCCTAGAAGAAGAAAAGAGAAAAAAATTACAAAGCGGGACTTTTAAACTACCAGCAAGCGTTCCCATGCCTTACTGCTGCTATAGACACATAAGGAACCATGGACAGCAGCCAGCAGTAAGTAACTTTACAAATAGTGCTGGGAACTTACCAGTAGACTTTCCCAAGTTGAGGATGGATGGGGGCAATATCCTAGAGTGGTCACAGCAGCTCCAGGTGGTGTTCCTGAAAGAAAATATGTCTCATTTTATTAATGACCCCCCAGAGAGGCCATGGACTCTAGAGCTGGATTGCATGCACCACAGGGCATTCTATCTTTTAATTGCCAGCATATCCCCCACAATTTACCACTGTATTGGCCATAACCTCACAGTATCAGAAATTATAGGGAAAATGTTTGGGTTGTTCTATAGTGAGAGTGTGTCCACCACCACACAAATTTCCAAAGACTTCTTCTCCGCCAGACTTAAGCCAGGGACCCCCATGAGTGAGCACCTAGTGTCCTTAAGCGGTACCAGAGCAGAACTACACCTTAGGGGAGAAGTTATTTCCGACCAGATCATGAAGAGCGTAATAATTAACTCTTTAGATCACTCATGGAATAACTTTCTAACACACTTAGACACCGTTAGTCTGGGAATGCTATCCGTGGAGAAGCTATCCAACAAGCTGATCGCGGAGGATAACCTGAGGAGAAGCCGCCCCGGCCCTCCCAGAGAACATAAGAGTGAGAAGAGAGTAGCCTTTCAAGAGAAACAGCACAACACGCCAGAGTGCAACATCTGTGGGTCGAGGGGACACATCAAAAGGGACTGCCTCAAGAACTATAGGGAGAGGGGCAGGCCAGAGCATAGGTACAGACAAACGGAGAGACACACATCTGAAGAAAGATATAGGCGCAGGGACTCACCCAATCCCAGGGACAGGAGAGGGAACAGAGATAGCTCGCGCGACAGTAGGACAGGATCCTTATACGGGATAGGGGAGCACGCACACACCGCACATCAAGACATAGACACCAGCTCATGGCTCCTAGACTCAGGAGCCTCCAACCACACCACCTACAATCAGAAACTACTCTCATCATTTAAGAGGGAGGATTTTTCGATCAAAGTTGCGGACCAAAACCAGGTTAGAGTGACGGGCAAGGGGACAGTCACTTTGCCAGGCATAGGGGAAGTAGAGGGGGTACTGCTAGTCCCGGAGATACCCCACAACATCCTAGCCGCAGTAAAGCTCAGCAAGGAATCAGGAGTTGAGGTGACTTTTACCAAAGGTAATGTCAAAGTTAGCAAGGAAGGGGAAGATATAGGGAGAGTAACCGTCAACCAAGGATTACCTTACATAACTTTCTGCAAGAAAGACACCCACAGCATATATACCAGCTCAGAGATCACAGAGGACACTGACCAGGACAGGACTGAGGGGGAACAGGTAGACAGGAGAGAGGTAGATAACGATAATAACACGACACAAGGAACACAACACAACAGACACACACAGAGGGGCCCATCAATAGGCAAACCCATACATGACGACTGTGCTCACCTGCTACACCGGAAGCTAGGGCACGCCAGTTTTCCCGTGGTCCAGAAAATGGCCAACTGTACCGAGGGTACCAAAATAAAAAACTGTGAAAACTACCTCGAGTGCTCGGTGTGCAAGTGTTCTAAATTAAAGGTAAAACCCAGACCCAAGAAGTCGTTACGTGCTGCCAAACAAATATTCAACTTAGTACACATGGACCTGGTAGGGCCCCTAAGGCCATCCGTAAATTATAAGAAAAGGTACTTCCTCACTATAGTGGATGACTATAGCCGATATGGCTTCGTCTATACCTTAAGAAAAAAGGATGAGGCCTTCCAAAAATTCAAGGAGTTTTACAAAAAAGTAGAAACTCAAAACAACACCCGGATCAAACAAATCATGACCGACAGAGGATCTGAGTTTCTATCCAAGGACTTCTCCCATTGGCTCAGGTCCAAAGGCGTGATTCACTTTACGTCGTCCCCGTTTTCTGCCTGTCAGAACGGGGTCGTAGAACGACGGAACTCCACGCTCCAAACAATGGTCAGGTGTACCTTAGAGGACGCGGGCATTGGCCAACACTTCTGGTCTGAAGCCCTGGTCTACTCCAACTACACACTTAACAGAACATGGTCCAGTGTGATAGACAAAACACCATATGAGCTCATGTATAACAAGAAGCCCCAGATAGCACACTTACACGTATTCGGCGTAACCGCTGATGTACACATACCCAAACAGTTGCGCAAGAAAGGGGATAAGGTATCCAGAAGACTGAGGTTTATGGGATACGAACCAGGGACCAAGGGCTTCAGGTTTGTGGACAGCAATAATAGATTCGTGGTATCTAGAACAGCAGCATTCCATGAACAAGCCAACTGGTCCAGAATACACTTAAACGAGGTACCCACCAAGCGAGAGGATAGTCCAATTGAGCAAGCTCAAAACAAAAACGAGACAGTGGGTAAACAGGAAGGGAGCAGGCCCAAGCCCAATCTCCAAGGCATCAAGGTTGAGGGATGGAAAGAGAACCATCCCAAGATAAGTGTCGAATCACTGACACAAAGAGAGGCCAGACATCTGCATGACACTGAGCAGACAGTAACCAGACCCGTCAGGTCAACCAGAAACCAACTGCCAAGAAGGTTAAATGATTACGTGATGCACGTGCACATGAACCACATTACGCCAAACTCCTACGAAGAGGTACTGAGACTACCCCAGGGGGAGAGGGCAAAGTGGGAGTTAGCCATGGCCAAAGAACTGGACAGCCTGAGGAAGCTAGAGGTATACACCCCCACCAAAGTCCCAGAGGGCAAGAACACAATAGGCACCCGATGGATCTTCAAGGTCAAGAACTTAGAGGGTGGCCAAAGCCTATACAAAGCAAGATTAGTTGCCCAGGGGTTTGCTCAAAGGTTTCCGGAGGACTACACAGACACCTATTCGCCCACCGTAAGAACAGAGAGCGTCAAAAGCACCTTCGTCATCGCATCCCTGCTAGGGCTGGAGGTGCACCAATTCGACGTGCAGACCGCCTACCTGCACGCCAAACTAGACAAAGAGATATACATCAGAGCCCCCCACAGCAAAGAAACCAACAGAGGGGACACCTGGTTACTTCACAAGAGCCTGTACGGGCTAAAGCAATCAGGCAAACGCTGGTACGAATGCCTGGTAGAGGCCTTGAAGTCTATGGGATTCACGGCGACCATAGCCGACAACTGTTTCTTCACCAGGAAAGAGGGGGACTCGCCAGAATACATCCTAGTTTACGTGGATGACATTCTATACATCAGCAAGCACGAAGGAAACCGCAACACCTTCGCCAGCAGGCTGAGCGAGCATTTCACTCTAAAATACCTTGGAAGGATAAACCGATACCTGGGGGTACAAGTCAACCAAACACCAAAAGGTTTCCAACTGTCACAGAAAGAGAAAATAGAAGAGTTACTCCATAAGTGCAACATGGCAGACGCCAAGGGGTGTGATTCACCCATGCAGACGGACTTCCTAAAAAACATGCATGATGAATCACCCGAATTTGGAGACAACACGCTGTACAGGTCAGTCATAGGCTCCCTCCTGTATATCGCTAACTGGACAAGGCCAGACATTGCTCTATCCGTTAATTTACTGTCCAGGCACGTGAGCAAACCCACCACATACCACTGGGACGCGGTGAAAAGGGTGCTAAGATACCTGAAACAAAGTGTCAATGCATGCTTAACACTAGAGCCTGAAAAATCCGACGAACCCATCCTCTCATGTTACGCTGATGCTGACTGGGCCGGAGACGCCAAAGGCCAGAAAAGCACGTCTGGGTACATATTCTACTTAAATAACAGTCCGGTGCATTGGTACACTGGTAAACAAATCTTGGTGGCAACCTCGACCACTGAAGCCGAGTACATATGCCTCTCCAAAGCCGCCAACAATCTCATCTGGTTCGACGACCTACTCGCCAGCGTGTGGAGAGAACCAGCTTACCCAATAAATATCTACGAGGATAACAAGGCCGCCATAGAAATATCAATGTCCGACGCTGTAGGGCAAAGGTCAAGGCACATAAAGTATAAACACGTGAGACAGCTCTCCAGAATCGGTTTCATAAAGGCCATACACTGTGATACAGAAGAACAGACCGCAGACATACTCACAAAACCTCTACAAGGCAAACAACACTCACACTTAGTTTCCAAGCTCAACATTCGCCTCAAGGTACCACACAGTCAGTCAGGATTACAGACACAGGTCAGGCATTTAGAGGGGGATTTGTCAGGTATAAATGCCCTTCCCGTGCCTAGGGTCAGTTACAGTTCAGTAGTGCAGGGGTTAACCCAGACACCCACCTGGTCAGCTCCTCCCATAGACCCCTCCTTACCTGAATCCCCGCCCACAGGTATAAAAGGTGGGCACAATCCTCCATGTTGTTCAGTTCCAGATGTAACCAGTGATGATGTGCAGAACCTGTAAATAAAAGAGATATATTTAACCTGATGACTCAAGTCTCTTCATTGGGCCTGATCCATCAATCCTCGTAACACAGACCAACCAGTCTGAAAATGCTGGGCGAGTCTGCCTTCAATCTGAAATGAAAAAACAAATGTATGAGCTTAAGAATTTAAAGTATCTAAAAATAAACAGCAAAATACTAAATAAAAAATTAATCTTAGAAAGCTACGCATGGACCAAGGGAATTGGAATATTTAAAGTTTTACAGTAATTTTGAATTAATTTTAAAAAGTGAACAGTTTCTCATGGGAAATAGATTCTATTTTGGGTTTTGCTGGACAAAACAAAGTAATTTGATGATTAAAAAAAAACTATACCAGGGGAGACAAAGATTTTAGGTAGAGGAAAGATTTACATCCTTGCTAAATGTTGCAAATTATTCCAACAATGAAAATACTGAGAGATTTTTGAAGAATTGAATCAGAAAATTGTAGCCACAATATAAAAAATGTCAGTAATGATGTTTGAATAGAATAGAGCTGGAAAGGACTTAGATGTCTTCTAGTCCAACCTCCCTATACCATTTCAGACACGTGGCTGTCCAATCTCTTCTTAAAAATCTCCAGTGATGTCTGCTTCCAAGGACAGACTATGTACAAAAGATGTTATTGAAGAAATGTCAGGTGTAGAACAAATTTTAGCTGACAACATAAAAGGGAAACCCTTTGGTGTAGTGGATCTCAAATCTGGTGAAAACACTAGTGAATGCCATTGTTCTGGAAGGCTCAGAACTCTGACATTCACTAGCCTTTTTCCCTTTGGAGGGATGAAAACGATGGTGTTCACTAAAATTCTAACAAACCCCCTCATTTGGAAAGGCTCAGAATATGGTGTTAGCTAGAGTTTTCACCAGATTTGAGTTCTGTTCCTCCATGTTGTGGGAGGATTCTCCCTCCTGCACAGAGGGGAGGAGAAATTCCCTTGGTGTGCTGGGGAAACATCTCAAACCCAATGTGTCCTCTGCTTGCAACTTTTCCTGCCAGTGACATTTGGGGAAAACTGGCAGAGAAGATTGAAAATGGAGATCACATGATTGCAAGGCACTTGACAAGTCGTAAATTTTTCTATCATTACAATTACATTTAACATTTCATGTATTCCCTGAACTTTGATTCTTTTAATACAGTGAGAACATAGCAACATCCGTTACTATTTATATACTAATAAAATTCTCATGTTTGTTTGACACTTTGTAATCTTCACTTGGATGAAACATTGCATCATAGGGCAAAAGTTTGTCAAGAAAGGTACCTCAAATGAGCTAACTTGTAGAATGCCGGATCCATTACTCCTGAGGGAATGAAATTTTAGGGTTTTGGGGTTTTTTTGCTGCTTCAGCACCAGTGCACTGCTGCAGTCAGCCACAGTGATGCGATTCTCATTTTCAATGTTCTCTGACAGCTTCCCATAAATTGATGGGGAACCCAGAAGGTCTTGATAGAAATGCTGATGCACCAATGCTCCTTGCCATCTTCTCACTAGCAAAGTCCTTGCTTGTGGGAACTTTGCAGGGAAAACAACGAAGAAATGGTTCACTCCTTCTGTGCTCACACGCCATTTCTCCTCACCCATGTGGCAACAGCCAGCCCTGCATGCTGGGAAGAGGAGGAAGGAGGAAAGGGAGGAAGGAACATGGAGGGAAGGAGGGAATGAATGAATAGGGAGAAATGAGAGAGGAAGGAAAGAAGTTAGGAAGGAAGGGGAGGAAGAAAGGAAGGGAAAAAGAGGAGAGAAGAAAAGGAAACAGGAGTAAGAGAAGAGTAAGAGAAAGGAAGCCACTGCCTTGCGTATTGGGAAGGGAAAGCAAGGGAGAGAGGAAGACAGGAAGGAGGGGGAAAGGAATGAAGGAAGGGGGAGCAAAGGAGGGAAAGAGTGAGGGAGGAAGAGTGAAGATGGAAAGAGATGGAGGAAGGGAGGCAGGAAGGGAGAGAAGGAAGCAAGGAATGGGGGGAGGGAGGAATGGAAGGAAGGAAGGTATGGAGGAAGAAAGGGGGAAGGGAAGGAAGGAAGAGGGAGAGAAAGAGGGAAGGCAGGAAAGAGGAAGAAAGAAGGAACAGGAAAAGGGAAGAGAAAGGGAGGGAAGGAAGGAGGGAAGAAAAAGGGGAGAGGAGGTGGGTGGGAAGGAAGGAAGGTTCCTAATGCTCATTGCCAGCTTCCCACAAGGAAACAATGTAAAAGTCATCAGGAAGTTCAAAGTTGCTCCCATTCCCAATGGGCTTTTTGGTTGCTTGTGGTCTGTGTTTCTCTGTTTGGGTAAAGAAATATCTCTGAAATGATGAGCCAACAGGTCATGGATTATCTTGTTACTTTATACATTTGAAAATGTTTCTCAGGATTGTGAATCCCCCAGATTAATAATTCCCTCTATGAGGAAGATAGGCAAGCAAAAAATAAAAAATAAAATTTGATTGGAATTCCTTCATTTTTACCCATCCCTCGTCTTTTGCAACAACTTGTCCGGAAGAATCCTTTCCCACGTCAATGAAATATATTTCAATAATATCTAATACCATCTACTTTTTAGTGCACATTTTAATACACAATTTTAATATATAATTTTTTTAACATCAAACATCAAACAAACATAAATGCAAACTAAAATAAAGGAAAAAGGGAAGGAGAATAACAAAAATGACAAAAATTATACAAATATAACAATAATGTCCTTGGAGTTCTTTAAAGAGAGATAATATAAAGACCTCTTTAATTTTAAACAAATAACATCAATTTATAAAATATCTTAAAGTACTGACAACATACTAAAATCCCCAATATACTAAAAATGTTTTCCCCTTAATTTCATCTAAAACATAGGAACATAGGAAATTAATGAGTGTAAATATTTTAAAAAACAATATTTCTCTAGTCAAACCTAATCTAACCTCCAAATCCCAAAGTCAAAGTAAAGATTCTTCTCTTTCTCTTGTAAGAAATATAACAATAGTCTGCAGGCTGCATGAAATTTAGACAAATTATCCCTGGTGTCAGTTTTGCTATTTCAGCTCTTCACAATCCATTCTTACATTGTGGGTATATGTTCTCTTTTCCATCTTTGGACAAATAACAACCTTGCTGCCATTATCATATATAAAAACAAAGTCTCATATTTTTTTTACCATTTATCTACCTTCCTGAAAGAAAAATGTCAGTTTTCAGGATTGGTTCATTTTCAAAAATTTCTGAACCAACATTAGTGTCTGTTTCCAAAATTTCTTAGCCTTACATGTCCATCAAAGGTGGAAAAAAGTATTGTTACATAATATTGTAATCAATATTTTTAGCCCATTTGACAATACAATCTTTCACAAAATAATCTTCAAATTAAACTTCAACATTTTATATACTTTTGCAATAAGATGGTCATCATTACTACATAATTGTTCTTCAAACTCCATTTTTAGTCTGCAATTTTTTTAAACTTTCTGACAATTGCAAATATGTAGACTAATGACAATTATATTCCCTTATAATTTTTTCTTGAGTTTTAAGTCTAAGATCCACAACACAAACAACAAATCAGTATATATCAGTGATGGCTAACCTTTTCTGTCCTGAGTGCCCAATGCATGCACGAACCCCCAAAATGTAATCTGCCCGCCCCCCATGCATGGACAACAGAGACCCAATGACTAGCTGGCCGGTGGGAGGAATGTGCACGTGCGTGGTGGAGCTGAACTGGGACGACAGCTCATGTGCCCACGCGCACCATAGGTTTGCCATCACAGTTATATATCATTCATAGTTGTTTAATAATCATTTCCTTTCAAAAAAAAAGGCTTGAGCGAGACCTATAAAGGCAATTTACGAAATAACCATACTTTATGTCTGTTCCAAACTCAATATGGCATATCTTACAAAATGATTCTTAAATGCTACATTCACTTTTAATTTCTCAAGCCATAAGCAACTGTTCCACCCAAATCTCAACTTCCAGCTCCAGTAGCCTTTTATTTTTTTAAATTATCCAATCTTTTATCCAAACCAAACATCATGCCTCGAAATATAATTTCAGCTCAGGTAAAGCCAATTCTCCTCTCTCTTTAGCATCCTAAATCAACTTACCGGTATATTTAATTTTTGGTTTTTTGCTTGCCACAGAGTTAGAAATATCCTTTTAACCATTGTTTAAAAGATATGTCTGTTGTCATGATTGGTATAGTTTGAAAAAAGAAACATTCTTGGTAAAACATGTGCCTCATTTTACAATATTTTTTGCCACAGTTGTTAACTAAATCACTCCAGTTAAGTGAATCTTGTAGATTCTTGGCTTCCCAGATTTGCTTAATGTCAGAAACCAACAGGGATTACAAACGGTGATCACATGACAGTGCAACTGTCATAAACATGCTATTTGCCAAGCACCCAAATTTTGATATGATCATGGGGATACTGCAACGGTTATAAGTGTGAAAACTGATGTCACCTTTTTCAGTGACCTTGTAATTTCGAACAGTCGCTAAACAAATGTTTATAAGTTGAGGACTATCTGTTCTTTAGCGTTGTTCATCATATCAGTTTGTAGTTAGAATCTCTTACTCCAGACCTCTTTTGGAAAATTTTATTTTTCTGTGTCTTTTTATTTTTAATCTCATTGCAGATGAGATTACTCTTTGTTCTAAATACTCTTTGTTCTAAAAGTTCTCTGATATTCTTTGTTGAACCTCTTCCTGAGAACTTTGTCTTTCTTGGCTTTGGTTTCTCTTCCTGGCAATTCCGTGTTTATTCTGACATGCAGTTTTCTTTCTCCTGTTTCTGGATCTTTGACAATCTCTTTTCGCATGTTTAACAGCTTATTTATTTCAGACAGATTACAAATGCGATTTGCACATTGTTTCATTTTTGCACCGTTCATTTTTCTAACTTGCAAAACACAATAGCACATAAATACCCAATATTATCTGTCAATTCAAGATCAATTCTATTCAGAGAAAGCCTACATTTATATCGTTTCGGGACAACTACAGTGGGGTTTCGGCGGCCACTTGAAGCATATTGCAGCGGTATAAACAGCAAGTGCACGACGAGTGGTGCGGCGTGCTCGAGAACAGCCCCCAACTCGCTGTCGCGAGCCATTAGCATAACGGCAACTGTGGCAGCAATGACTGAATTGTCACCAGTCCCCTCCGCCCCTCGTCAGGGGGCCGCGAAGACAAAACACGAAGGCGCAGGAAGCCCCCAGGGCCATTGCCGGGCATGCGCGACGCCCCGGGAACATGGCGGAGGCGGCAGCAACAGCGTGAATCTTGGCGGCGGCGGCGGCACCGCGCAGCTGACAGAAGGGCGAGCCGAGCCCCCGGCGTGCTACGAGTCCGGGGCTTCCTCGAGTTCGGTGAGTGCCTCCGGTTCCAGAGTTCCGAGCGTTTTTGCCTTCAGAGGGAGAAAAGCAGGCTGAGCTGGAGCCGCCTCCCCCCTTCGCCGCCGCTTTCTCCTCTTTCTGCTGCGGGATCTCCCAGGTTCCGCATTCTAAAACGCGAGCAGAGAAGGGAAAAACGCTGATGTCAGATCAGCAGTCATCCTCCACCTCTCGCCAAGTATTTGGTGTTTGCGGGGTCGGGGTGACTTGTTCCGGATTCTCATCCTCCACCTCCCCCAACTAGTCTTCTAGGCGACTGTCTCTTCTTCTTCAGGTTTTCCCGAGTTGCCTCTTTCTTCTCGGCCTTTTGCACCCTCCCTTTGGGTCTTGGGGCAGTTTGGGGCGTGCGCTACCTTCCCTCGTCCTTGGTTGTTTACTTTAACGGGTCGGAGTGGATTTATAATCCCGCTCTCCCTTCCTCAGTTAAATCTTCAGTTCCACCTTTCTGATGATCAAAAGGTGAAGGAAGGAAAGAAAGAGAGGAAACGTTGCAATCCTCCTTGAGGAGGGGCAGGAGGAGGTGCGAGAGGGGAACTCACCACTGCATTTAGCCAGGGGGCATGGCAGGTCTCATTCCCTCCCGCTTTCGCGCTCTCTGGAAAGCCGTACTACCGATAGGTGGAGGTCGGCCGGAGAGCCGGTTCTGGACCGGCAGTTCTGCGCTTTGAATGCTGCGCGGTTTTATTTGAAAGGGGAGGAGAGGAGCGACTGACGCCTCCTGACCAGAGCTGAGCCAGCACAGCTGTCGCATTTAGCCTTGGCTAAATTTGGTAACGATGCTGGCTTTTCTGTAGGGCATGCTGCTTAACAAGCATTTCACTTTAGTAGGGCGGGAATAACCGTGGGCACTGAAAGGGGGCAAAGGCGAGTCCCCCTCCCCAATCTTTTCGGGCTAAACGCTCAAGGACTAAAGCTGTTCACGGCAGTTCTGCACTATTTTGACCCCCGCGCGCGCGCATTTTGAATTGGCGCTTATTTTTTGGCTTGCTTGGATGTGCTTTGACAGTAGCGTAGACGTGGACA